TTCCGGCAGAAGAGCTGCAATAAGACAACAAGCAGACTTATTTTTGAGTGTTCTTTTGCCATCACAGCTAGTCTGTGATCCGCTGTAGATGTTATAAACTGATTTTAGGGAAAACGTTAACTCTGCATCAACAGTTGCATGAAATATGAACTTATCAAGGAAGGGTAAGGTGCTTCTTTTCTGTTTTCCTCATCATTTTAAGAAACTATTTTGCATCAGTCTGAAGCATTGTCATTGCAGAATAATGCTTATATGTTACTGTTTAACCAGTTTATCACTATGTCAAGAAAAATGAAATAGGTTTAGTGTCCTTGTTTTGGACTTATTGATATTATTCTGCACAGAATTGTTTGGACAGACAGACCCTGGTTAAAACTTAAGGTTTGTTTGTGAGTTTTCTTATAGCCAATCTATTTTGGTTACGTTCTGCACTTCATTGGAGAAAAAAACAACAAAATTTGACGGTTAAAGTAAAAAGATTTTCAGTATTTATTTACCAGAGTCTGTTAAAGAAAGCAGAAACACATTACTTATGAGCTGAAGTGATTCTTTACAAAGTTCTGGATTGTTTGCATCTGCAGTTTTACACAACAGGAGCAGTTTGATGAAATTACTGGATTGACTTGCCTTAATAAGTCGTGTTTATAAGCGGATGATATCCATATGGAAAAGAAATAGAAAAAAACTTATAAAAGACTTGCATCAGATGTGGCCTACTTTATATAGTGATTCATATAAGGCTTATATGATTTACTCATGAAAGTGGCCACTTTCATATATTGTTTTAGGAAGTATCCAAAACATAGAAGTTTCATTTATATAATTTTTCTAGGGATCTTATATCTGTTTTCACTCTTGTATGCTCTTCAAACAAGTTTCACACAAGACAGATACAAACTTTATAAGATTTATATATATCTTTTCCATATGGGTAACGCTGATAAATCTCTTTAAATCAATCCTGTGCAACCTTTTGTTCATTAAGTATGTTGTTTTCTTCCGAGCTGAGACATTTTTCCATTGGACATTGTCTAAAAATCGCTTTATTTTTTATTTATTTCCAGTTGATACGATCACAGCCTGAAGCGTCTCTCCATGTGATGGCCAGAGTATCAAAGAGTCGCTTTTTCATAGCAAATTCATCAACAGTAACTAAGCAAACACAGACCAGTAAACAGAAAAGCCAGTGAGCAGGCTAAGAGACAGATTTTTGTTTGTTTTGTTTTCATTTTTACCTGTTGAAATTCAGGCTGTTGTTATATTAATCCACGCACACTAGGCCTCCGTGACGTGAGGAAACATTTTGGTGTGCGATAACATTTCTCAGTAGTGCAGTGATGACAAGATTTGTGACAAGTAAAGAAATAATGAAGTGTGCATGTTAAGTATACACTTCTATACTGTGCCTTCAGCTTTAAGACTTAACCATGAATACTCTGCGCTCACTGAATAAAGCTATTAGATAAATTATGTCAAACATGTTATTAGTGAAAATAGAATAGTGGTGCAGTTTTGATGCTCCTTGTCAGCTTAGGGCTTTCTGTGTGGAGTTTGCATGTCCTCCCTTTGTTTCTGTTGGTTTTCAGTGGATGCTCTGCCTTCCTCCCACTGTCCAAACATGCTTGTTAAGATAATTGGTGATTGGTGTGTATTATCTGCGATGGACTGGTGCTCTGTACCCTGCCTCTTGCCCTATGACAACTCTGATAGGCTCCTGCAACCTCTAAGAAGATAAGCAGTTTAAAAAAATGGATGGGTAGATAATGCTGCACTGGGTCACTGCTGAGTGTGAATGCTTTGTTCAGTAAATAATAACTTTTATAATTGTTTGGTATTTATCACTCATGCTTATAATGCAAACACAAGGAACGTATACGTTTATTATGCTGATTATTGTCCTTACACTTTTGGCTTTAATATATTATATTACCTTCTGTACACTTTACCATTGAAGAGTTAAATCAATTTACAAACATACTGTGGTTCTGAGCTAATGTGAGTTCATAGGTCTTAGAATTGCCACAATTGCCATCAAATGAGGGCAAGTATGTTGCTGTTATTATACCTGATGTAGGAATGTGGCACTAATTAGGTACTTTCACTAATAATACGTTAAACAGAGCGACTGCTTTGGGTTGAACTGAAATTCAATGCAGGGTACACATACAAAAGACTGTAAACTCGAGGAATGAGTTAAAGACATGTTTTTTAGAAACATGCAGTGCTTAATGGCACTGGGCAGTGGCTGTATGGGATCACACTGTTCTAGCAGAGCCTGCTTGGTAGGCTGTCAGGATGAAGGGGCCACTGGGTTTCTTAACAGCTGATGATCCTTCGAAATCAGGAAAGATTTAATGGATTAACCATTAGGTGGTTCAGTCAGCTTTTCTTGCAGTTCATTTTGTTCTTAAGAAGTTTGATGGCCTGGATGGTTTTATTACATTGGAGGAACAATGTAATAATTGAAATAAGAACCCCACATGCACATGTTTTGCCTGCTGATAAAGGAGAATCTTGCTGGAAATGTTTATTTAACCAGTAAACCTTACAGTACACATACATTTTTGTTTGCAGATTTAATAAAGCACATTACACAAAATCCTCCAATTTTGTAATAAATTTTCAAGAAGATGTGTACTGTAACCAGCTAGGTACTAAAAATCTGTGTTATTTGCAAGTACTCATACAAAGCACTGAACCAGTCTTTAGGATGCCTGTTCTGTTTTTTATTAGGGTGTGGTCTGCCAGTGTGTCTGTCAGATTTCTCTCTGTGAGTCTCTGTGCTCTTCATTATGACTTGCAGGACTATTGCAGATACTTAAAAATATCTTCATATGATTTAAGCTAACCCCTTTTAATATTTTTATTGCCTTGTTTTATCACACACAGAGGCAAGTGAGAGCTTTGCATGTTTTGCACAGTCACTGCCTTTGTCCACCCTCCTGGGCTGTGCAGCCCAACCCCTTTGCTCTATGTCGACAGCCCACTCATCACATTCAAATGGCCTAGTGGCCCACACACAAAGCAGGCTGGCTGTATGGAGACAGTCTGCTACCGTACAAAAGATACTTTGTTTTAATGGAAGCAAGATACAAGTTGCAGACACATGTTCATGTGCCATGGTGATTAAGGTGATACTCCTGAAATTCATTTATTTATAGGAATTTATTTAAAGGAAGAAAATGAGGTTTGTCCTGCCATATTATGCATCTGATAGCTGCAGATTCATTTGCTCATGACGGAAAAATTACATTAGATTTCTGGATCAGTTTCTGATTTCAGCTTTATCATCTTTTTCTTTTTTTTCCCGCGTCCTGTTCGGCATTGTTGTCTTGAACTGTTGTCTGAAGGCCAAAAAATGCCAAACAGATGTACTTTCACAAGTGAAGCCTTACGGCTTTCACTATAATTGTCCACTTGATAGTCATATTTTATTAGAACTTAACTAGTTTTTTATTATTTTGGATTATTACAACCATAACGGACGAGACTGGGGAGCGGAAAAGGGGAAAAAAAGGAAAGAGAAGTTGGGAAGAAAGGAGAAGGAGAAGAAGGGAAAATAGAGGACATGAAAAGGGATAAAGAAAGAAAGCAGAGCAACCACAGCAACAACCAATATATGCATAAAAAACAATGTTACTGGAAAACACACAGTAATAATACAAGATTTTTTTAGAGGCAGCAGCAGCCCAAGATAGTGTGTTTGTCAATACCTGCGTGAACACCTGTGTGAACACTTTTATGTACACCTGTTTGTGTGAGTGCGCTTGTGTTCGTAATGTTTCTCCATGTAAGTGGGTAGCTGAGGACCTGAAGCAGACATGAAGGAGACCTGGGCTCCAGACATCCTCAGGCCCCCCAGAGCACGAGAGCTTCAGTAGGACCACCGCAGGTACTACCGCGGCCCCGACTCAGAGAAGAGCAGAGGAGAGACCCAGCATCCATGTTGCAGAAGCACCAGATGGCTGCAGTGGTGCACTGGAAGCCAGCTATCCCAGAGCAGACCGAGCTCTGGGCCCAGAGACCAGAGACCCAAGGGCACCCCAGCCCCTAGCAGAGGCTCATCCCCTAGCCCCTAGCAGAGGCTCACTCCCAAGGCCCACCAAGTGGCCCTTGGGAGTGAGCCAGTACACACCAGAGCACCCAGCACCCAGCCCCAGACCCCGAGAAGTACTAATGCACCAGTCCATGGGGACACCAGCCACGGGCAAGGAATGTAGCTTGGGAAAATAGGCCCCATACCTGGGGGAGCCTGAGATGTTCTAAGAGAGAGGGAGAGTCTAAGATGTGACCTGACACCAGACAAACAAGCATACACAGACACAAGCACTCACACACACCCAACATGGAGGCACACAGAAATGGACGACATACACACACTCACACTCTCCATACCCTCAGAGTGCTCTCAGTTTCGTTTTGCAGGTTTCGCCAAGATGCATTCCTAGATCATACTGCTTCTTATCTACAGTCAGTAATCAAATGCCTGATCATTTTCTTGCTATTGGCCAGTACATTTTGTTTACAGCAAGTGCTAAAGCATGATGTTGTTCTTGCTGCGAGGTCCTTCACGGATCTAATCAATAAATCTCATTTCAAAAAAACATAACAACTCTTAAAACACTTCTTTACTATTCCCTTGTCTTCAGCGACAGAATTGCGACTTACTATTTTTGTCATATCTATCTATCTATCTATCTATCTATCTATCTATCTATCTATCTATCTATCTATCTATCTATCTATCTATCTATCTATCTATCTTTCTATCTATCTATCTATCTATCTATCTATCTATCTATCTATCTATCTATCTATCTATCTATCTATCTATCTATCTATCTATCTATCTATCTATCT